CTCTTTTTCTTCTGTCTTCTAGTTTTGGCATGTTTAATGCTTCCAACCTCTCCTCGTAGCTCTTGCCCTTCAGTTCTGGGAGCCACTTCGTAGCATGTCTTTGCACCTTTTCCAGTTTGTTGATGTGCTTCTTAAGATATGGGCACCACACAACAACTGCATATTCTAGCTTTGGCCTAACAAAAGTCATGAACAATTTCTTTAGTATATCGCCATCCATGTATTTAAATGCAATTCTGAAGTTAGAAAGCATCGCATAGGCTCCTTGCACAATATTCTTTATGTGGTCCTCAGGTGATAGTTTTCTATCTAGAACCACTCCTAGATCTCTTTCTTTATCAGAATTCTTTAAAGATTTCTCACATAATATATAGGTTGTATGGGGTCTATGTTCTCCTATTCCACATTCCATAACATGACATTTATTAACATTAAATTCCATTTGCCAGGTGGTGCTCCATATACTTATTTTGTCCAGGTCTTCTTGAAGGGCATGACAATCATCTAAATTTCTTATCCTTCCTATTATCTTAGCATCATCAGCAAACATGTTCATATAATTCTGTATACCAACTGGTAGATCATTTATGTACACAATAAACATCACTGGTGCAAGAACTGAACCCTGTGGTACTCCACTTGTGACATTTCTCCATTCCGATACATTGCCTCTGATTACTGCCCTCATTTTTCTATCAGTCAGAAAATTTTTCATCCATGATAGAAGCTTACCTGTCACCCCTCCAATATTTTCCAGTTTCCAGAACAACCTCTTATGTGGAACTCTGTCGAAAGCCTTTTTTAGGTCCAGATAGATGCAGTCAACCCAGCCATCTCTTTCCTGTAATATCTCTGTGGCCCGATCATAGAAACTGAGTAAATAAATAAAAAAAAGTAAATAAGTGTGTGTGTGTGTGTGTGTGTGTGTGTGTGTGTGTGTGGAGGCCAATATAATACATTGTGTTGCATTATTTTGGTCATATTAAACTCTGGTTCCACCTTGTGGAGCTTCTGTATTAATTCATTCTATTCTGACAGTGGCTGAGGGGGATACCTGGTTGATACCTGCTTGATGGGGTTCTGGGAGTTCTTCTACTGCCCAAGCCCGGCCCGAGGCCAGGCTCGACTTGTGAGAGTTTGGTCCACCAGGCTGTTGCTTGGAGCGGCCCGCAGGCCCACATGTACCTGCTTGATGGGGTTCTGGGAGTTCTTCTACTGCCCAAGCCCGGCCCGAGGCCAGGCTCGACTTGTGAGAGTTTGGTCCACCAGGCTGTTGCTTGGAGCGGCCCGCAGGCCCACATACCCACCACAGCCCGGTTGGTCCGGAGGAGGGGAATGGGAGGTGTTGGGTGTTAGGGAGGAAGGGGAATAGTGAAGAGGGTGTGGGGATGGTGGGCAGTGGGGTGTGGGGGGGGGGGAAGACCAGGTATTGGGACTAGATACGGGGGGGGGGGGGGGGGGGGGGGGGGGGGAAAGATGGGAGGGACCGGGTATGGTAGATAGGCAACCCAGCCAGCCAGTCCATGAATGTTCTAGTATTTTAGGCCAGTGTGGCAGGCTTTGTCAAAGCATTGAGATGCATCTCTGAACACACTACATTGCCAGAAACTCTTGGCCGCCTGCCTGCCTGCCTGCCCACCACTCTTGGCTGTTTTTCATCCACTAGCCCGCCTATGATTGACATCCAACGCCAGCCATAAACCATCCATAAAACTGCATATAAATGCTGTTCTGTATACATTATCCCCAATACAATGAGAATTTTTTTTTCTGGTGGTCTATGTATCATGCCTAGGGAAGTCAAATCCCAACCCTGTCAAACTGCCCAGACAAGTGGGTTTTTTCCGAGTGATTCTACCTCATGCCATTCAGTTACTGAAAGGTCTTCTTTCTTTAAAGTTTTTTTTAATATAAACAGATAATTTTTTAGCAAAGATCATGTCTGGTAGCATCATAATTTGATAATGCTGCTATGAGTGATTGAATTTTGTGAAAATGACTGTTTCTTTTTTACATTCCTGGGAAGAAACTCGGCTAACTTGAAAATATGAATGAAACTCGATTGGGGGTGTGCTCCTATGATTCGAATTAGTGTGTAGTCAATACATCACTAGCACACCAGACAATTCCAACACCCTGTGATTACTCTCCCTATTCCTTCACCTGAATCCACCTTACACCCCACACAAAGGTCTTCCCCTATGGACTCACAGGACAGCTCATGATTTCCTGGGAGTATATGGCAGGCTATGCGGTGGGTTCGTCTCCACCAAGCGCCATTTTCCAACGTCATTCCACCTGCTCTCCAGTGGTTCATTGTTTATATCATGGGGAGGGTTGCTTTGGTCCTTTCCTCTTAGGAACTGGACTCTGTGAGAAGCTTTTTGGGATTCTTGTTTGGATAGAGAGCCAGTGATGTGTTGCTTCCTTTCTGGGGGTTTGTTTCTTCAGCGAGGTTTAATGGAGCGCCGCCCTGCTCCTTATTGTCCAAATTGCATTGTCCCTCTCATGGTCGTGCATATCCTTGTTGAATGTCCTGACTTCCAGGACGAGCATGTGTCTTACTCTCCGACCGTCCCTAGCGGTCGCTTGTCCCTCAATAGAATTCCTGGTGAATCGGATTCTTTTGATATCGTTCGCCTCATGCGTTTCTGTTCTCGTATTGGCATCCTTGGTGATATTTAGCGCCCCCTGATTATTCTGCATATTTGATGGTGCTACATAATCTTCCTGGTTTGGTGCCTTCTTTTGATAGTTAGTTACTTCTTCAGTAAAGGTGATCATGAATCCTCTGCTTCCTGTGCCTCTGAGGGGCCAGGTTTTGACCTCTGGCCTCCTGCAGGTTTTTAAGGAACAACTAGGGCTGATGTGACTTCAAGGTGGGAAGCATCTCAATGCTGCTAGCTACAGGGGGGGCCACCAATGCACCCCAGTCCTTTCAAGATAAGAGGCATTTCATTACAATACTGTTATTCAAATAAATTAATTTATATTTACCAAATGTTTTGCTGAGCTTGTTCCATATTATTATTCAAACAAGATTGTTTGTGATGTTATTCTAGGGCATCTAGAGCTCCTGTGAGGCACATGAACCAATCATGTGTTTTTCTTGTTTGCGAGTGCTGTCTCCTCTCATTGTTTCAGTATTTCCACTGGCTAGCTCTTGATATTTCATTTTCTGTGAGTTAAAGCTATGCTGTGTAGCAAGAGTAATGTGGGTACATCAGACAAGGGCAAGAGAGCTTGCCATAAATATATGTGGGACCTGAGGGTTGAGTGGACAGCACTCTGGATTCGTAGTCCCAATGTTCCAGGTTCAATTACCGGCAGAGGCGGAAACAAATGGGCAGAGTTTCTTTCATCCTGATGTACCTGTTCATCTAGCAGTAAATAGGTACCTGGGAGTTAGACAGCTGCTACGCACTGCTTCCTGGGGATGTGTAACAAAAAGGAGGCCTGGTCGAGAACCGGGCCGCGGGGACGGTAAGCCCCGAAATCATCTCAAGATAGAAAGCAAGTCATTAGAGAAGCATGATAGTGACTGGCAGAGGAGCATGGCATTGGAACCATGGTAGTGCTGTTTCTACTGTAAAAATACAAAGTATGCAGGTTATATAGCGTGTGAATAAAATAGAGAGCAGTGGTGGATAGAAGTGACATAAGCACATTAAAATCTTCTAAACATGAGAATTTGGATGATTACAATGATTTATGTTGTGCTATCTTGAGGCTGGTTGTCGGCGGTGAACACTTGCAGACTTTTGTAGCCGAGAGGAGGACATTAACCAGTTCATAGTGACTGCATTTTGCTGCCTCTCTGTTATCAAGACCAACAAATAACGTTTTATTGACTTAATATTCACACAATCATTATATATTATTTGTGTATCTAAATATGCATAAACATGTACTGTATCTCTTGCTGTTATAAAAATGCCGAAAATTTGGTGATAAATAGCTTTCCCCCCAAAAAAAAGGAAATCCGTACTTCACTCAAAATCTGGATCGGGTAGAGAATATGATCCCAGAAGGGAGCCGGTCGGCCGAGCGGACAGCACGCTGGACTTGTGATCCTGTGGTCCCGGGTTTGATCCCAGGTGCCGGCGAGAAACAATGGGCAGAGTTTCTTTCACCCTATGCCCCTGTTACCTAGCAGTAAAATAGGTACCTGGGTGTTAGTCAGCTGTCACGGGCTGCTTCCTGGGGGTGGAGGCCTGGTCGAGGACCGGGCTGCAGGGACACTAAAGCCCTGAAATCATCTCAAGATAACCTCAAGATCCTAATTTTATAGGTGCTAATATAACAGGCTGCCTTATTAAAGCTAAGAAATCCCTTTTTCTCTCCTTCAGAGTGCTCTTGTTTAGCTAATAGAATAAATACAGTAGAATGAGAGGTGTAGTGAATGCCAAGAATATTGGAAGCTTCAGAATGTTACTTGATTATGTATAGGAAAGACAACACCGTGAGTGCAGCACTTGTAACTACGCTAGGTAGTTATACGCACACCACATAAGCTTACCACACTCCTTTGTTGCTGGCATTCACTCACCGCACTCGTCACACTTATCTCACTCGCTCACCACACTCACGCAGCACACTTACTCGTGGTTCATTAGATGATATGCATGTTATTTGGTGTCTGGCTATTCATCAACTGGTCTGAGTGTCACTAGGTGGGTGACAGTGTGGAAAACATTGCCATTTGCTGTGGGTAACCATGATGAGCATAATAGGGCTGTTATCAGCAACTCTTACTCTAATATAATTTATTTTAATAATACTGTATACATACATATTTTTTCAAATTTTAATATATATATATATATATATATATATATATATATATATATATATATATATATATATATATATATATATATATATATATATATATATATATATATATATATATATATAAAATTATTATTATTATTTTTTTTATGAAATTTGAATGTTTATAACTAGCCATTTTCAAAATGTTAGTGTATTCTCTCTTACAGGTTACAAATCTTTGGCAGCAAGAAAGGAAGCTCGGGAAAGTGCGTGGCGTCATCCAGGATGGGACGAGGTCGTGGCATACACAGTGCCTCTCATTAGCGAGATGCATGCCAGGATCCTTGTACCAAATAGTATTTCCCCCGCTCAGTAATAATCAAATGGCCTCTGGTTTAAGTACTCCCAAAGGGATGTTGATATCTGGCATTGTGTGTATATATATACAGTATATCTAATGTGAAACAGAAGAATTACATGAATGATTTGTATGTTCATCAAAAAAGTAAATACAGTAGAGTATCAATTACCAATGTATAAATGGCACAATGTACAAATCTCTTGATACCTCCTCTAGAAATAACCCTTTCATTTTTTGTGCAGTTGCATATACCTGTATACATATATAGTTATTGGGTTGGTAACTTCAACTTTGTAATAGACGTGTTTCGAACATTTCCTGGAAATACAAAAAATCCCTTATATTGAGTGTTAACAACGTTTTAATGGAGGTTACGCATGATGGGGCACGCGTTATATTTGCCAACCTTTCTTTTTTTGTTTTCTCTGTTGTGATTAAAGGCTATAGTTTATAATTTACACTGTTGGGTAAATCTCTTACTTGGGTAAATCTCTCTCACTCCTTTTCCCTGCTACAGCACTTCACTTATCTACCTAAATTTAAGAAATTTGTGTAACGGTTCCTATACCTGTGACCACGACTTGTGCTTTGCAAATTTCTGTTGAGTCACATGTACAGTCACAGATCTGTTTTATTTGATATATTTTGAGGGAACTATTGTTGTTACCTTTAATAACACACAAAGTACAAAGCAGCCTCATAACCGAGAGAATCCACTGGAGCCGTGATGAGGCATCTCATCGATACATTACAATGATGTGTTTTCTCTGTCTACTGCATTTGTTATACTGAATTATAAGTGGTTTCTTCGTTCAGAGTTTACAGAGAATATTGATTATTATTTAGAAATAATATATATAATGGTAACATTAAATTTGAATGTGACATTACTGATCTTTCAGCAGTGTAAGTGGTAAACAGATGAACCAAGTCATTAAGTCGGTCAAAGTTTTCAAGCATTCATGTTATCAGCTGTAGACTAAGTTGTTGTTTTTTAGCTGTTTTTTGAATAATTTGGTTTGTAAATGTTAATTTTTTTCAATTTTGTTTTGAATTATTTAATGTGATAAAATTACTTAATGCAAGATGTTAGTGTTCAAAAACATTTCCTTGTATTAGTTTTACATAAATGGTAATAACATAAGTTTGTATATCCGAGTTTTATCTGACAGTGTTCTTAAGCCTCATAATTTGTTCTGTTATCCAGAGAATTGGTGCTTGGAACATACATCCTGGAAATTTGCCGAGACTTGAACAGTACCAGCAAATACCCTGATTGAAACAATGTGATAAGTGATTGTACATTTCTGTGTATCTAGAATACAAACTTCAATCTTTTCCATTCAGTGAATTTATTTTTACCTTGCTCCAGTACTCAAAGTAAGGTAAGTTGCATAGACACGCACAGAGATCACACTAACGTGATGCATCAAATGAATCTGGGATGCGTCTGGGATGCTCCTGGACGCAGGTTCGAATCCTCATCACGGCCCTTGTGGATTTGATCATTTAAGTTGCATAGAGTTTTGTAAATCACAAGACAATGAAAAATATAGCAAACATCTAACAGAACATTCAATTGTTAATGTAATTTTTTTTTCTTCGATCCCTGTAAGTCTCTTTCTTTTATGTGTCGAGGAAGTACTAGCATACTGTGATGAGTGGCTTCTAACCCCTCTTCTGCCTGCTGGGAGAGTTTGCAACAAAGATAATAGCTGAAAGAGGATTTCTGTTTGGGTCACTTGTCAACCTGTCAGAGGTTTCCCGTTGTGAAACGCTACCCTGAGTGGATGGACCAGGTTTCTGGCATGACTAAACAGTTAAAAGGAGTTAACACAACAAATGTATACAAAACATAATTGTACAGCGTAATGTACAATTGTAGGGACAGGCGTTACACAATCTACAAAGTCGCTGTTGGTCCAAAACGTTTCGGGCAAAAGGCTCTCCTCTGCTTGGGACGAGGTAATCCATCTTGTGGCCTCACACTCCATAACTGCTCTTGTAGGTGGTATCCTGTGTTGCAAAGAGGGATATAACCTTATCTCCATATTATGAGCAAGCTTTACTCTTACTCCTTTTTCAGTCTTGACAGGTAACCAGGCTCACAAGTAATTGTAGTTATACAAAGGAAAGATGTTATGCATATGCAGGGAGGCTGGTGAATGTGACACCTGGACGATTGAGTTCCCTGAAACATAAACTGACCTACTCTACCCCAATCTACCTGAATTGCGACTAACTCCCAAACATACTTTGACTCACAAACTCTGTATATTGACTAAACAAGACACTTTCCATAGTACAGCAACACTTCGCTACCACCAACAACACATTGGTTGTTAATGTGTTCCTGGTTGTTAAGTGATTTGGTGGGTCATATTCTGGGTAAAATTAGGATTAAGGACCTGTCCGAAATGCTATGCGTGCTAGTGGCTTCACAAGAATGTAAGAACTCTTGTATATATATAAATAAATACATAAAAATAAATAAAAACTCAATTCCTTGCCTTTGCCATCCTGCATCACATTGCACTTATATGTTTGTCATTATTCTCACAAATAGATGATCTCAATAACTTTCATACTCCGCCAAATTATGAACATTGATGCGGCACTGTGAGTGGAGCATTTTTTCATCATTACTACTAGTGCAGTCATCGGGAGGAAAAACCTTCATGCAAACTGCACGTATTGCAAAGAAAAACCTTTTTTAAAAAGTTAATACCGAGCCTAACTTGATGCAGTTGTTCTCCCCCATTAAGTATGAAGATCACTTCACCTTGGTTTTTCTCACCATTGCCCAAATTAGTTTACTATCTTTTTTAACTTTTTTTTTTTTTGTGGGATTTTGGGAACATAATCGTTGCCTATTCAATTCATAATTTGGTTTACATAAGTGTTGCAGCAAAACATATATCTTGGTAGATTTGTAACTGCAAATAATAAATTACATCAGTGCTATAAAATGTGATCTGTTCCCATGGCTGCCTTCTATTGACTGAAACACGAATTGTGAAATGAGGGATTACACATTGGCTGCACACGATTTTGTGGGAACTTTGTTAGGAGCACCTCTCTGCTCCAATATCGGCACTGCAGTGTTCTGCTACACCTACCTCTTGCTTTTCCATTGCACCTTAGTAGTGTTCTTCAATAAACTTCTTGGTGAATTTGATTCTGCAGAGCTTGTCTCAATATTATGGCTTTCTGCACTACAGTGCTATGTATCCTTTCGAGCTTAGCATACTTTTTAATTACAGGGCTACTTATTTCTCCATACTGTAAATAGGAGCTGCCTCAATATGGACCAATAGGCCTGAAATTTTCTCTATCCTTATATATGTTCTTATGCTCAGGTCTAAAAGCATCTTCAAAGAATTTAAAAGTAAGAATTCCTGAATTATTTTATATTTTGAGCTGTATTGGCCCTTTATACTTGAACCCAGATTTCAATAGTTTTTCACTGCAAACTAGTTTATTGTTGTACTCTGTACTCATCCTGTGAGCGGTAGCACAAAAGTATTACACTACACAAAGATCTGAACTTCAGTAGATGTTTAACATTAGCAGTTACAATTTATCTACTCACCTTGTACTATAGTTTTATAAATAACAGATTATATCCTCCCCTGCAACTGCTATACAGTATAAGACAATGGGCATTAGAGGTGGAAATAATATGGAAAATATTTTGGTGTATTTTATTAGTAAATCAAATAATCTTTATATTGTATATGTAAATGTAAAACTGCACATTTTCAGCTAGTTGTAGAATGTAAGTGTACTAACTACATTAACAAGCTTACTTTATACTACATATGTTTTTCTGCTGCTTTTGTCCAAATGTTTGCATATATCAAAGGGTTTTTGTGTGTGTGTGTGTGTGTGCTATAGTACAGTAATTGCATATTTATTAATGTCTTTGTCGTGTGTGTGTGTGGATGGCACTGTCCTTGTGTATTTGTTTGTGTAGATTTGAATAAACAGCTTTGAATATTGTTCTCTGTTATGATGGCTCTATTTGATTCCAGTTGTCTGTCACATGATCGAGGGGCCCAAGAATCGATTTCGTATGTGTGTGTACCGTCCGATGTCAGCCAAAGGCCAGAGAGCTTGGTGTGTTGTGGTCTTGAATGGACTTTTTTTTATGTATGTATATATGCATGTTAGTGTTTTAATTTTTAATTTTTATTTATTTTCAATAAAAAATATATTTTTGTTTTACCTGAATTAAAATATTGATCAAATGTTGCAGTTACAAAATAAATCCAGCTCTTGAACTAATGTTCTATACAGTATATAAACATTGAATATATAATTGTATATTTCTAATCTGCATTGCTAAAACAAATTATTAAACAGAACTTTATTTTAAGGTACTGTAGTAGCTTTTTGACATTGTCTATAGCTTTCCGAATACAGCACTACTTTCCGTGTAAATACTACAGAACTTCATTCTTGTACGATTGTTTAGAACAAGATGGCGGTACATCCACATATTTTTCTATGACTCGACATTTGTGCATAATAGAAAAGCATTAATTAGGAGTGGGGGGGGGTAATGTTAGCTGGAGGCTCTGGAGAGCAGCTGTTGGCTGTTAGTGTTGATGGATGTTAAGGAACAGCATCTTCAACAGTTTTGAGATTTAAGCTGCTGCAGTATCTTGAGGTTATCTTGAGATGATTTCGGGGCTTTTTAGTGTCCCCGCGGCCCGGTCCTCGACCAGGCCTCTACCCCCAGGAAGCAGCCCGTGACAGCTGACTAACACCCAGGTACCTATTTTACTGCTAGGTAACAGGGGCATAGGGTGAAAGAAACTCTGCCCATTGTTTCTCGCCGGCGCCTGGGATCGAACCCAGGGCCACAGGATCACAAGTCCAGCGTGCTGTCCGCTCGGCCGACCGGCTAACTGTATTATTACCTCCCTGCAGTAGGCCTTTGAGGTAAATCTACATCATTGCCCTGCAGTACTTTGCTACATAACTTTTACTGAAGTGGATTATTACAGGAGCTTTAACATCAGTGGCAGGCAAAAGACCTCACAGTAACAAACAGCAGTGAGATTTGATGGCAATTAAATCCTATGGGTTTCATCATTTATCTAGCCGAGGCTCCTAATGTTACTTTGCTATTCAGACCTCATTGCTTTTCCACCACTGCAAATCTGATTCAGCTGCTCTCTGGGGCAAAGTTACATGTGTAATTAATACAGTAAAGACATGCACAGTGCTACTCCAAGGCAAACCAAACCCACAGTCCCCTAGCAGGAAGCCTCACAACAGGCCTTTAATGTGGATCTTTATAGGAAGCATTGGAGGTGTTGCTTGAGGACGAGCACCTCTGGCAGGCGGCAGTCATACTGGAGAATGTCCTCACACTCTTCTGTCAGCTTTAGCAGGAACTGGAATTAAGAATAAAGTAGAAAACATACAAGAATAAGCATTTCATGATGGACGTGGCCATTTATAACACCAATGTGGGGGGATTTGTTTATTGACTTGAGTTGGCGAGTGCGCTGGTACTGGCTCTACTAACAAACCATGTTTGTTTCTATTCTAGACGAGAATTGTTTAGCCTTAAACTTTGACTAACAAATATATAAATTATGACTTCGGTTTACAACCCTTTGTGAAGGTGGGAGGAGAGGAAAATGGCTTTGGTAACTGGTTCCCTGTATTTAGCCACTCTGAGATAGCAACACACCTATAAATCACATCAGCATTTACAAGTCTGAATGATTCTATTATTCTATTGGGGACCAGAGGGCAAAACCTGGCCTCTTGCAGAGAGCAGTAGATTCATCATCATGATATTATGTCATTTATATAAATGTACACTACGTACATACATTTAATACATGATATGGAGGAGAATGCGTAGATAAGAAATGTACATTATATAAAGCCATTAATGCGCACTGTTTTGGAAATAAAGTAAACCTAATTAAGGAATTTATTTACAAGTTTAAGGGGGGGGTTAAAAATTAAAATGAAAAATAAGTTAACATTTGAATGTGTAAGAGATATTTAGCCATTGGTGTACAATTTTTACGTGATATTTAGAAACTAGTATTTAACAACAGTACAAATATTACAAATATAGAAAATAATGTTCACAACAACACAGGTTGTGTGTTGAACACACAAGTTGACGTGTATGATGAGGAAATTTGAGTAAAATCGGTTACATAATGTTAAACAGGTATTTCTTTGTTTCTCTTAAACTAGTTGAGAGAAGTACAATTTTTAATAGTACTGTATTTGGAATGTCATTCCACAGTTTAGGACCCTTAATTTGTAAGGCATTTCTGCTTTGGTCGAGTCAAAATGAGTACCGAGAGGTTCCATCATAGGGCCGACCTCTTTTTATCATTTATATCGATGACAGATACGAGAACCACATTATAAAATTTTCAGACGACACTTAAGATTTGTGATAAAGTAGGGAGCAATGATGATATTGAGGTTTTACAAAGAGATCTACATAAACTCCACAAATGGTTGGAAGACTAGCAAATGCTTTTAAACATTGACAAATGCAAGACCTTGCATGTGGGGCATAACAATGCACATCACAACTCTACCATGCAGCAGATTGAAGAGGAAAAGGACCTAGGAGTCAAAGAGTCCACCGGTCATTGAAAGTTGCACATCAAGAAGGAGCTTCAGTAAAAAAAGGCATCCAAGGCTTGTGTGACTTTGGGGTAGTTAACTCATTGTTAATTTCCACTTTCATGGGGGATTACTTTCTGCAGCCCTGCGGTTCAAGGGCCAGATTCACGAAAGCACTTACGAACCTGTACATCTTTTCTCAATCTTTGGCGGCTTTGTTTCCAATTATTTAACAGTTAATGAGTTCCGAAGCACCATGAAGGAGGCTGTTTATAACAATAACAACAGTTGAATGGGAGGCTTTCATGCTTGTAAACTGTTTAATAAATGTAACCAAAGCCGTCAAAGATTGAGAAAAGATGTACACGTTTGTAAGTGCTTGCGTAAGTGCTTTCGTGAATCTGGCCCCAAGTCTAAAGGATTGAGGATGAAGGTGTGTATTCCCGTGGTGGTACGCTGGTGGAATCAATGAAAGAACTGCATCATGACTCATTTGGTTTACAAATACAAATATAATACTTTTGTTTAGTTTGCTGTTTGTATGTTTTGGTTCACCCACCTTTCTAGTGGCCTTTACTTGGTTAGGGGGATCTAGAATTCCCTGCTTCTTGCACTTCTTTAGAGGGGGGCCAGGTTTTTGGTCTGTGGTCCCTGGTAGGCTTACAATGACTCGCAAGGGCTGATGTGGATTGAATTGGGTGGAATGTTCTGGGTAGCAAGCACCACGGATCCACTATAGACCCACAAGAAGGTGTTACATTACATTAAATGCTGGTTGTATTCTCACCTGAACTCTGTCAACTTCTGCTTTGTGATACTTTTTCCAGTGTAACTTTATTAGCGTTTAACAGTCGTTCCAAGTCGTCTTTGTTACTAGGTTGACTATTAGAGCCCATCTAAATAATTACTATTGTGTTTCTCAAATACATAGTGTTACATTTACATTACTATATTTTAATTTATTTAAAAAATACTGTACTATCCCTATGCTTTCCATTTCAGTTCCCAGAAATAATGTACTGTAATAAACACAAAATCTATCCCAGCTCTTTGATATCTATGATCAGTATGAATACATGTATAGTACAGTAATAAAAATTAAACCTGTCAGAAATCAGGAACTATATGGTTAATTGAGGTAGCTCAAGTAGTTGCTCAAAGAAAAATCCTTCAAGATGCCAAGTCAGGAGATGCAAAGGTGTTGTCACCTGAACCTTGTGTTGGCAGGCAGCTGTGGTGGTGGGATGTGTGTTGGTAACGGTGGCGAGGATGGTAGCGATCTTTCTATCATCGGTACGAGGGAATGTTTCCATAGCAACACCACTGGAACCATCATTAGAAGTAGCCAGAGTGCTTCCACGCTCCAGTAGCTCCGTTGAGGCCCGTATCAGCTCCAGAAGTATCACGCCTGGGGAACCATGTGGAATTCTTGGGAGTGTTTTTAACTTCCTGTGTTCTGTTGTGTGTTCCTTACTGTATGGTATATGCTGTCTGGAGTAATGGCGAGGGTGAAATTGTACATGTAATGGGGGTAATGACAAAAATATCGATGGATGATGGAAATATACATAATGGAGAATTCAGATGGGGAGTGTAGTGGAAAAAATAATGGGGAAGGTGATGCATGTTAAAAGGGGTAAAAAATTAATACAATTAACTTAAACATTCAGCATCAAATACTGTAGAGTAATATTAATGGATATATACAAAAAAAATTAATGCAAACATTTGTATATTTTGTTACACGAACAAATCAATATACTGTACTAAATTGGAAATTTATCACTTGCTCAATATTTACTAAGAACAAGTGATCAAGCAAGCTGGTATCTAGAGGATTCTCTTTTTTTCTCTCTCTCTCTCTATCAGCTATTTTTTTCCATTGAGTTAACAGAACTCCTAGTCTTATATACTGTACTGTTTCATGACATGAAAAGTAAGCTAAAGTCAACAGCTCAAAATAGCTAGACAAAACATCAAGTAGGTACATTACATAATTCAACAGTCTCATTGTTCAAAATTCAATCGATTTGTTAACGTAAGTAATTTAATGTCACACCTAAAATTCTGTTGAGTCAAACGGAGGCATCAGCTATCACAAAGCAAAGCACAAAGGGGAGCCGGTCGGCCGAGCGGACAGCACGCTGGATTTGTGATCCTGTGGTCCTGGGTTCGATCCCAGGTGCCGGCGAGAAACAATGGGCAGAGTTTCTTTCACCCTATGCCCCTGTTACCTAGCAGTAAAATAGGTACCTGGGTGTTAGTCAGCTGTCACGGGCTGCTTCCTGGGGGTGGAGGCCTGGTCGAGGACCGGGCCGCGGGAACACTAAAAAGCCCCGAAATCATCTCAAGATAACCTCCAGATAAGCAAAGATGGGCAGAACTAAGCTCCAAAAGAACCGAATTCCTGGATCTTAGTCTATTATGACAGGGAAAGTTGACCCTTTATCCAGGTAGGCCCAAAATAGGGACCAACAGTTGATTTTACCTGAGTATACCTGAAGGTTACTATCTCTTATTGCCTCGACGGGGGCAGGAAGCTGGCAGCTTGTTGAAGATCCCCCACCCCCATTTTACCTGAGGATTTTTTCCAACTAGATTTTAAACATTTACGGCTTCGGTGGGTAGGTGGTTCGGTGGGTAGGTGGTTCCATGGGTATATGAAACCACCCTATGGGTGAAAAAGCATCTCCTGTTTTCTGTCCTACATTGTGGCTTGTTAAGCTCGAAGTCTTTGTTTTTTTATTTTACAATTGACCTTTTAAAGAAGTGGTCTGGATTAATATCCTCCAACTTATTTAGTACAGTATATTGTACTAAAGTCCGTCCAGACTTTATCTATCTCAGACATGAGATATTGCTAATCTCATCTCAATGAGATTAGCACTATCATGTGAGGTTTGTAGTGTTAGTACGAAGGCCCTCAGCTCAACCATTCCTGGTATGAGAGTGGATTTAGTTCTGGGATGATTTTTGTCACTGTGAACATAAGAACATAAGAAAATACCAGTCCCTGTGGCACAGTGGTAAAACACTAGCCCGGGCGCCAATCCTTAATTCTAGCCATTGTTCATCCAGCAGTGAATGGGTACCTGGTTGTTAAATTTATTTGGCAGGTCGTATTTTGAGGAAAATTAGGTTGGACCTGCCCAAAATGCTATGCGTGCTAGTGGCTTTACAAGAATGTAAGAACTCCTGTATACAGTATATAAATAACTAAAAAAAATCAAGGGAACTGCAGAAGGTCTATTGGCCATTACGCAGCAGCTCCCATTTACAGGTATATCCACCCAAACTCATTCATATACATATATGCCTAACCTACCCTTGAAACATTGCTGACCTTTCTCCAAAGCAGCTAGCTATGTCTTTTTGAATGGTGCTAGGATACAGTATCAAATTTGATATAGGAAGAAATTATGCACCAAATAGGACAGAGAGAAGATAAAAACTGAGACCAAGTTGGAGAAATGTCTCAGTGAACATAAGAAACCCTGTGAAATGGAAACCCTGTGTCATCAACAACGAATTGCTCCCCAGCCCTGCGTTGGTGGACTTCAACTATTAACGGCATTAATTTATTTAGTACAGTGAGCCTGAGCTTCCAAAAAATCATAAGGTCAAAGGGGGGGGGGCTTTGACAAGCCGCCGGCTTCCTGTCCTCGTCAAGGCTACTAGTGTATTTGCGGTCCTCGGGTAAATTCAGGTACTTTCAATATACCTATTCCCCCTCTAGTGCTGCTGTGGAGAGGTAATAAAGGACTTCATCAAGCCCAAGCTCAAAAGTTCAGTGACATCCATTTTGAAATGATTGTCTTCTTGAAAGGAAATTGGAGCATTAATTTACTGTTATATTTTTCCTAGTTTCATTACATGTATCCACTTGATTTAATTAAGGATCTGCTGTTTAGGGTTCCGCAGGTTCAAAATGCTATTACAATAAGTGAGCACTTCTAGAAGTCATGTTGAGCTCGCCCATGCTGAATTTCCATCGACAAGTCATGCAACATCCGCTGATGATGATATAAAATATGACTGAAATAGTGTAAAAAGTGAATTATTAGGGATGATCGCGACAGACAGACAGACGGTGGACGGTCGCCATGGGAAGGGACATGTCCGCTCCCACACTGTGATAGTCGGCAAGGCGGGTTACACTAGGAGGTCAGCGCACATTCTCATCCTGTACATCCTGTACAAGATGGAGGTCCTCCCTGTGTAATGGCCATTGTCAGATGGAGCACCACCAAGCCTGAGCCACTCCACAAGACACCCAAAGCCACTGCGACCCGTAGAGGGGGGGAAAGTACAGGAACTCTGCAGACTACTATGGTCCAGAGGCGAGATTCACGAAGCAGTTACGCAAGCACTTATGAACGTGTACATCTTTCCTCAATTTTTGACGGCTTTGGTTACACTTATTAAACAGTTAATGAGCTCCGAAGCACCAGGAGGCTGTTTATAACAATTACCATAGTTGATTGGGAGGTTTTCATGCTTGTAAACTGTTTAATAAATGTAACCAAAGCCGTCAAAGATTGAGGAAAGATGTACAGGTTAGCAAGTACTTGCGTAACTGCTTCGTGAATCTGGCTCCAGGCAGTTAATCGTCTCCTGGAGAACCTCGAACTCTCCACATAAGAACATAAGAACATAAGAACAAAGGTAACTGCAGAAGGCCTATTGGCCCATACGAGGCAGCTCCTATTCTATAACCACCCAATCCCACTCATATACTTGTCCAACCCGCGCTTGAAACAATCGAGGGACACCACCTCCACCACGTTACGCGGCAATTGGTTCCACAAATCAACAACCCTGTTACTGAACCAGTATTTACCCAAGTCTTTCCTAAATCTAAACTTATCCAATTTAAAATAAAAAATAAAATAAAATGTTTATTTAGGTAAGGTACATACAATAAATTTTTACAAAGATTGGTTGACTTATAGGTAGAGCTAGTACATACAATGCTTAAAGCCACTATTACGCAAAGTGTTTCGGGCATGATAAACTTAAATGACAAGCTTAATACTAATTGAGCATAATGAGTAGAATGAAAACAAGAAATGAAAACATAGCTGAAAAAGCAGCACAAATACAATTATGTCGACAAACAGCGCTCTTTAAAAAAAACAGACATTGGTTGACAATAGAAGGGTAAGGTAGGTTACAGGGAATTTATTAGGTATAGCTTCATTTTTGTCGGAAAATCCGACACCATTTAATATCATACAGATAATAGCTGCTGTATTACCAACAAGTTACCCATAGAAAACGTAACTTGTAGTGGAATTACCGTCTAAAGAAAACGGGATATCATCACCACATACTATTATAATTCACCAGCTATTCTGCTGGGAATTATTCTTAAATACATAAGTCTTTGGACTTTACCATCATAAAAACATCTTATATAAATTAACTTAATTATCAATATTAAAGTAGAGTAAATGTGACCCTTCTATCACGTTCTGAAATCTGGACAATGTAAGCCAGGCGTCAGAGTGGAGGAAGGAGGGCAGCCATTGTTGTTATATGAGACCAGAGGCTCACACGGGAGCAAATTCGGCTCCTGTTAAATTTACTTGGACGTAGTGTTATGGAACCCAAAGGTGTACCATTGTCAACACGCTGCCTACAAATACAAGATAAGTGTCTATCCGAAACCCGTTTATCATTCATTTATGGCCATTAATGTCAGGATATAGGGTTAGCCGGTTAGAACGCGAAATCGCCTCATACTAAAGGTAATTAAGCCAGGTCTTTAATGTTCCATGTACTGTATAGTGTTTTCTCTGATATAGCTTGTCATATATAGGATTCTGGCTTCACAGCTAGCGCACTTTTGACAGGTCAAGACGAGGATGCAAGATTATGTGCACCAGTTACTGGGTGATAGAAGCTACCTCAAAGAGGATAATTTGGTGTCTACACTCTAGTTATACCTGGTGGACTAACCTGCTGTACTATAAGAGAAGGAACCTCATCAATGTATGTAGCTATTACTGTAGTTTGATTGGCTGCATATATATATTAATTTAATAACCCCCCCCCTAATGTGTAGAGGATCGATTTGTGAGATTAAGAGATTATTGCAGAAATACAGTCCACTTATCATTATACAAATTGCTATCGAAGTATATAAATTAACGTAAATATAAATTCATATAAATTAAATAAATATAAATCTCACAGGTCGGTTCCCACAATTTTTATCTAAAACTGGTTGAGAGAGGTACAGTCCAATTTATACCCATTGTTTCGTGTTCTGTCTTGTGTTGATATTTTTAATACCCTATTAATATCCCCCTGTTATGTCCATTCATCCACTTGTAAACCTCTATCATGTCACCCCTAACTCTTCGCCTTTCCAGTGAATGCAACTTAAGCTTTGTTAATCTTTCT